ATCTAATCGGTATAAATCAAGAGATTAATGACTATAATTAAAAGTCAACATCCTAAATTCATGTGCCTAATAAACAATCCAAATTCGCATAATATCGAGCAAATATGTCCAAGTAAAATTATAATAAACTTTCGTTAAAATAGGTAAGTCAACAAAAAAATACACGATATGTATATATATATATATATATATATATATATATATATATATATATATATATATATATATATATATATATATATATATATATATATATATCACTACAAAAAACATGAAAATAGCGACGAATTTAGCGACGGACACATTCTATCATTCTGTTGCTAATATAACGACAACTTAGTGACATATTTTAATTTTTTGTTAAATATACTTTTAGCGACGGAAATATTCTGTCTTTAAATACATAGCTAGATTCCAGCGATGCGCATTTTGTGACGAATGATATCCGTCGCTAAAGACTTTTAGCGACAAATTTTTCTTATTCCGTCGCTATTTTTCACATTTTTTGTAGTGATATATATATATATATATATATATATATATATATATATATATATATATATATATATATATATATATATATTCAATTCATGTTTCTTATCACGTACTACGTATTATAAAAGTTATAGTTAGTAAAAAATATGTAATTTTATTTTCTTATACTGGTATAAAAGGACTAAAATAACCCACCAAAAAAAAAAAAATAAAAGGACTAAATTTGTATGACATGATATTAAATTTGTCCCTTGAGGCCTTCATAGCACAATTGTTTTATATTTTTTGACTACTATGGGAAAAAAATGATAAACAAACTCCAAAAAATATAATCGATTAGAGATAACATAATGATTCTGGTCTATCTTAATTGAGCTATTTGCACAAGATTTTTTTAATACAATTTAAATCTCCTGCTATCTCTTAATAAAAGTCAAGTTGACCCTTACATTATTGTAAACTTTTTGCCTTATTAAAGTATGATAAGGATATATCAACGCTTTATAAAATGATGTAAGTTGATATCTCTTACTAAATATTTTAATAAACCTAACTTATTACTAGCTAGCACCTAGGAGAGTTGTAGACATTGAAATTACATAAATCACCTCGTACGTAATATATATTAAATTTCCCTCAAGATTAGGATAATCTCACTCAATTGATTTTGTTCCAAAACAATCAATTGAGGGAGGTTATCCTAATCTTGAGGGAAATTATAGTAGTTTTTTTTTTTTTTTTTTTTTTTTTTTTTTTTTTTTGGTGAAGAACGAAATTATAGTAGATTGATACTCATATTAATAATGTATTATCAATCTCCCTCAATTGATACTCATATAGTAGATTGCAATTGTGGCCAATGATAACCTCCTTCTTTTGGGCTGAAATCCAAATTGTAATTATGAAAAAAATTAAATTTAATTAGCGTCAGAACATTACCTCAATCAGTCATCAGTCAACCAATTTAAAATAAGTCTATAAGTTTTGTTTTATTAGCCGTTGCATAGTACAAGGTTTGAATCCTACATTCTTATCAAATACCAAAGAATGACGTCGTTATAAATTTAGTTTTGTTGTAAGTATTAGTGTACAAACATTTGGAGTCTGTCGACCAGTTTAACCACATCCCGCAATTTACCTCTTTCATCAGTCTCCCAAGCATAAGTGTATTCTAAATTAATATATGAAGAGATATGTTTATATCCTTCTTCAAAATATTATACAAAATGAAAATTTAAATGTAAATCTCCTGTACCTATAATGTTACCGGAGTACTTATATTAATATGTTTTTGTAGAAAATAGATGTTGGTCAATTATAAAAGATCTGAAGAGTTAAAAAGTATATATGAGATATGACACCTATCGCTAGTTTAATATCAAATTTGGTGCAAATAAATTTTTTAAATATATTTTTGCAATTTGAATTGAATGACAACACTTGCAAGAAACCTTTAAACATGTAGGGTATATGTTGTACGCAGATATTCTATATCATAATACATACACACCAATACAGTATTATATTAACATTTAAGTAACATATAAATAATACTAAAAGTGAATGCTGAAGGATTTGAATTTGCATTGGATACAAAGTCAGCATTATTCTCACATTTTTTTTGACTTTAAATTTGTATAAGAGGCACGCTACAGGCACCGTAACCATACCTCAAATAATACTAAGTGCACATAAATCTACAAATACTTGCGTGATTTTATTTGATTAATTTATATGTAAAATTATTGTTGGGACAAAGAATACTATTTTTATAACATAACAAAAGGAAAACAATGTGAATTCAGTAATATTATTACCTTTAAAGGTCACGGGCCTCTCAAAGCTCGTTATCTTGTTATCAATGTTGTAAAAATCAGTTTAGGCGGCTGCCTACACCGACTAGGCTCTAGGTGTTCTTAAGTCGAGGCGATTTCAGCCCTAAGCAGTTTTTAGTCGGCTAACCGACTAATCGGTCAACTAGGCACCATAGGCGCCGATTCGGTCGAGTTGAGCGTCTAACTCGGCCGAGTTGACGCTCAACTCGGCCAAGTGTTTTTTTTTTTTGCATACTCAGCTACTCCTCTTCTATATTTATCCAGTCAGACATGTACTCAACTAATCATTTAACATATGCAGTAAATTAGTTTGGAGATTATAACAGTCTAACAACTCATAGCCCTGAGTAGGAAAAGTGGAGACGATATACTTGAATTACTAGGGCGCCTAAGCGGCACGCGCCCGACTAGTGCCTTCTGCAATATTGCTTGTTACACTATTCCATTGCATTTACACACACAATTTCATCCAAATTCAAGCTACAATTACATGTTAGGGTCGTAGTGTTCCGATTTAACACTAATTATCTAATAAATTTTTTATGAGTTACTAATGAATATGAAAAATAGTGGGGTTATATGGGACGATATGATACTAGATTTACATGTAAATACTCCGACATGTACAATGCGAATTTTAATGAATTATGATCGGCCGGACCATGATCTATCATCACCACGACACAGAGCGGGGGCAGTTTATCGAAGGTACAAATGATCAATGGGACAAAATGTTTGGTAAGTATGGTCATCACTCATGAATGATGAATGTGGTGTGGGAAGGGTTATTTTCGTCATTATTGTGAAATATCATTGAATGATTCAGGTATGTTATCTTCGTCCTTTGGACTAAAATTCTGCTGTGAATTGAATTGAAGTTTCTTTAATTTGTCATATGGGAGAAGAAATCAGAACCAGCATATAATAATTTTATAGGATAAAAAATAAAAGTAGAATGAAAATTCTCATTTAATGTTGATGGGTATATGTATATACGCGCGTATATAGCAATTTCGGACCTTATTCTACACTGGTATAGCGCATTAGCGCCAACCGATTTGGAAGGTCGGGAGTGGACTCTACTCGAACAGACAATCAGATCGTGAAATGTATACTCAGTCATTATAATTGTTCAGTTTCACATTTAGCGCCAACATGTGGTGCGATCGACTTGACTAGTGAGTGACACAAACCCATTGTTAGCTAGATTTCAGGCACGTGGGTGCTCAATCCCCAAAGTATAAAAACCAACTTAACTTCCACGAAAAAGAGAATTTTGATCTACAAAAATGATCGTTAGTACTTTCCGGCCATCAAGAGTATCCCGACTTTTTATACTCTTGAAAAAAATTTTGCACTTAGGATTTAATCTATAAATTCACAATAAAAAACTCAAACCTAATATTATGATATCAAATAATTAACATCATTAAATGTTTTATCTCGGAACATAACTCAATGGTTTGACAAATCTAAGTTAATTGGCGGGTTTTTTTCATTGGGTGTAGAGTTCAATTCCTAATGCATGGGAAGGGTATGAAATTGGCCAAAAACCTATGAACAATTGAGATACATCTAACAATTTACCACATTCCCTCATATATCAAAGATGCATGCATGGAATTGACTGGCTTAGGACCTATAGACAATTGAAACACATCCTAAAATCTATAGACGGTTGAGATTCAACAATTTGCCTCATCCCCTCATCTATTCAAAATGTATGAAATTGGTTGAAAATCTATAAACACTTGCACTTTATCTCATGAGTCACAATCGATATACCTTATTTCCTTCTCTATTGAGGAGGTGTGGAATTGGTAAAGAACTTATAGATAGGTAGATATAACTCAATAATTTACCTCCTCTCCTCCCGGGACATATAGCCTAATACATATCGACTGTTTACTGACCAAAATCTTTTTATACAGAGAAAGTATGGAACTGATAGGAACTTATAGATGGTCTAGATACAACTCATAATTTATCTCCTCATTTCCAAATACTTAAAATAGAAATATCCCCACTCAAATAAAAATAAAAAAGGAGGTGCGCAAGAGCAATAGCGACCTCTTCTCTCCCTCTCCCTATCATCCCCACTCTCTCTCTCTCTCTCTCTAGCTGCTCATCAAAGAACTGAAGAGAGATGAAAGATTATAAGTTCACAGATTTTCACCTGTACACTTGAGATGTTACACTCCGTATACATATACCCACTCCTTTGTTGTTAGTTTGGATGATTTCACTTTCCCAGAAGGCGATTGCAGAGAAAGCTAGCACTCACTGCAAGTAGCAACAAAAGAGTGAGAAAAGGAGAGAGACAGACAGAGAGAGGACAGGCTCAGAAAGAGAAAGAAAAAAAGAAAAAAAAAAAAATTCTTGAGGAGAGGAGAAAGCGATGTCTGAGACCCTTTTACAGCCTGAAATTCTCAATTAAGAGGTAATCTTGTGTGGTGTGTTATGTTTCTTTTTTTTTTTTTCGAAATTGACAGTCTTTTGTTTGATGCTTTCTCTTGTATCTATGTTAGCCGGAAAGAAAATATTGATTATTTTATTGTTGTTTTTGGAGATAATTACAGCGCAGCCATGGATGTGGTACAGTGGAGTTCAACAACTCTTGCTTACTAGGAAAGGCTTAGGTTGTTTGGATTTGTTGGGTTAAGGTATATATCTATCTATGTCCCAAGATTATCATCATCATCCTGGATTGTTCAGTTTCTCGAACGGGTTCGAGAGATCGCCGGCAGAAATTCTGCAGCAGATCCGGCGGGATAAGGTGCCGCCGGCGCCGCCGCAGCAGGTTGAAGAAGAAGATGAGCATCCGGTGGGGCTTGCCGGAAGTAATGAAACGTCGGGGATGTTGTCGGAGATGTTTAATTTCCAGCACGGAACGGCGAGGGAGTTGCTGGAGAGCCAGATTTATCATCATCATCATGGGCAGCAATCGCAGCCGCAGATGGCGGCGGCCATGCAGCTTTTCGGCATGAATCCGTCGCCGTCGCCGTCTCCGTCTTCTAATCATTCGGCGGCGGCCGCCTCGACGTTTCACGTGTCGTCGGTTCCGAATCCCTCGCCCACGTCGACTCTCCAAGGGTTTCATTCACACGCCCCAACCGGAGGCCACTTTAGTCAATTCGCGTGGGGGGACGGAGGAACGGCGGCGGCGGCGGCCGGTGAGGGGCAAGGGCTATCGTTATCGCTGTCGTCTGCTAAGGCTGGGGAGGAATTTCGGATCTCCGGTGACGCCGCCGGAATGCTATTTTTCAGCCAGGGAATGGCGTCCGCTTCCTCAGAATATCCATGCAAAAACAACCTGAACTTAAACGGCGGCGGCGGCGGCGGAGGAGGAGTCATGGATCACCACCACATCCATGTCGGGTTCGGATCCTCCATCGGAGTAATCAACGGATTACGGCATTCCAAATACGCCAAGCCCGCGCAAGAATTATTGGATGAATTCTGCAGCGTCGTCGTTAGTGCCCACCACCAATTCAACAATAAGAACAAAAGCCTAAACCCTAATTCCAACCCTACAAGCAGCGACGCCGTTGACGGCGGCGACGCCCCAAACAACAACTCATCGTCTTCCTCCAAACCCACCCCGCCGTTGTCCACCGCCGACCGAGTCGAACACCAGCGAAGGAAAGTCAAACTTCTCTCTATGCTTGATGAGGCAAGCAACCTCTCCCCCTATTAAATTCTTGAAAATATAATTTTCCTCAATCTTACCAAAACCCACACGTCATTAACTTATAATTAATGTTTTCTTAGTAATCATAAAATTACAATCTAACTTTCAACCCGAACCACTATTAACTCTGAACAATCTAAGCTGAAACATACTTTCGAGATTGGTTACAGATTTTGTTTGTCATCTAAAAAATATGGAGTAATAATTAATATTTGCATGATAGGATTGGCGGGGGGCTTAGATTATATTAACGTAGTAATCAAACACTAATTAATTGCCACTTGGGAAGATGTTCTTGTTTTCTTCAGATTAGGAAGAAGTAGCTAGTACGTTTGTACTGGTCGGAAGTCCTAATTATACACTACTAATTAACCATGTTAGATGTACGTACACAGTAAAAAAGTGACATTTTTCTCAGATTTCTGCTATGTTTAATCTCTTCTTAGTCAGTACTCATAATTGAATCATTAAAGATTTCTGGGCTTTATCTTTTCTGTCTTTCTTTTCACTTTTTAAACTTTTTTGAAACCTTATAATTCAAGTATATTATGGCAGTTGAAACCTCAATTCTTCAGCTACTACCTAGGAATAGGACTAGTTTTTCCAACAATTTAGGTAATATAATATTGTTTTGCTCTCACTAGAATGAGATGATGTTATTTATTGGAGTGACTCTTTCAAATAGGAAGTCATAGACACTGTTGGAAATTATAAAATTTTCGACCACTTGAAAGTGATTCGAAAGCAAAAAGTGGTCGGAAATAGTAACAAAAAGATTTTTTCAGATATCAAAAGTTGTTTTTCACTTGATTTAAAAATCACTTTCAGGTGGTCGGAAATTCCATAATTTCTAACTGTAGATTTGAGCTCTCGTGGGGTGACATTAACTCTTTCTGCTTCTGAACAAATAATTATGAACAGATACTACATTGTAACAGAGTCAGTAGTACTAAAAAAATGTTAGTTTAATGATATTATGAGGACTAACTCAATCGAGTTTGGATTTACCGGCGATGATATAGGTTGACCGGAGATACAACCGATACTGCGAGCAAATGCAGATGGTGGTGAACTCGTTCGATCTGGTTATGGGGTTCGGGGCGGCGGCGCCGTACACGGTGCAGGCGCAGAAGGCGATGTCGCGGCACTTCCGGTGCCTGAAGGACGCGGTGGCGGCGCAGCTGAAGCACAGCTGCGAGGTGCTGGGGGAGAAGGACGGCGGCGCGTCGTCGGGGCTGACAAAAGGGGAGACGCCGCGGCTGAAGATGCTGGAACAAAGCCTGAGACAGCAGCGGGCGTTTCACCAAATGGGGATGATGGAGCCGGAGGCCTGGAGACCGCAGCGCGGCTTGCCGGAACGATCAGTCAACGCTTTGCGCGCTTGGCTTTTCGAGCATTTTCTCCACCCGTACGTTCCGTTCCCCCCATATCTATCTTTCTTCATTTTCCGGTGGACTTTAATCATAAACAAGAAAAGCTAATTGAACCGACCAACCACCCATTATTAGCATATACTTAGTATATTATTAAAGAATAAGAAGCATGTGTTTCATCTCAACTAAAACTTAATTGCACATTTACTTTATATATTATATGCTCAACATATTCCTTTGTGCGGGCCCTTTTTATCTGGTAGATTTAAACTTATGACCTTTGACATGGGATGAATTTTGATACCAAACTCATCTAAACTAAAAGGCTAAGCTAATAGTTGAATTGCTCATGCATTTACTTTATATATTATGCTCAACTGGAACCAACATTATTTAAACTTTAACGTAACCAAAACATGAACAAAATCAAGATTTTGGCTTGGGTGATGCCACTACTAAAGAGTGTATGTGCACAAATTAACCTTATCTGTGATCTTAACGGATAAAAAATCACAAGGAAGTAAACAAGTCTAGATTACAAGAAGACTAATAAACTGCTCGATCTCTACAAAAAAGTTGAACTTGAAACTTTGTGTTTACTAAGCTAACAGAATAACTAGCTTGACTAGGATACCACTTTAGCTTTTAGTTTTATATATAGGACTGTGACGGCACCTGAAAAGCTAAAACAAAAGAGGGAAATGTCAATGCCCGCTAGGGATATGATGTATAAAGAGATAGGTAGCTGGGGTGCTTGAAATAATGTATATTGGTCTGATATGATGATGCCATTTTTGTGGGTTTATTCTCTCAGGTATCCAAGCGATGCAGATAAGCACATGCTGGCTCGACAGACTGGTCTCTCCAGGAGCCAGGTTTTTCATTTCTCCCTCACCATTTTCATCTTTTTTTTTTTTTTTTTTTTTTTTGAAACACCTCACCATTTTCATCTATTCTTCAATCTTAGCTTGGATTAGTTTTCACTTTTCATACACATTCAATATAATAGTAGATTCTAATTCACCCTACCCTAAATGCATTTTGTCACTGTCGCAACACCTGAAAGTGATCTTAAATTAAGTTAAAAGCAAAAAGTGGTCGGAAATAACAATAAAGATTGTTCTGGATATCAAAAGTGGTCGGAACAAGGCTTTCGACTTGATTTAAGATCACTTTCAGGTGTTCGAAAATTCCATAATTTCCAACAGTGTGTTGAGATCGAGTCCACCTCGAAGAAACGTTAGGCAAAAAGAAACTAAGGTAGTGGATCTTTAGATGCCCTAAATGGTTGATCAGAAAGACTATTTCTAGCGTCACCAAAGTAGTGAATGGATTTCAACTGCCACGGACGATAGCTTAGTTGATTTTTGGGTAGTATGTAAATTGTGGCTGGACAAGGATACAGAATTGAGTGACACCTGATGTGGTAGGCTCTTTTTGAGCACCCGACACTAGTTCTCCACGTCAATTAATCGACCACTGAGTAACTGTGATTAATTGGAGCGTAGTGGGGCCTGGAGGTGAGGATATTTCACCTAATGTGGGCAAGGTATTAGGTCTCTAGAGATTAAACAAAAGCTAGGGTAGAGCAGCTTTCTTGGATACGATCTGATCTGCCAGAATACTCATCTCGATCAGCAAAATTGAATGGATCGGATTTCTTCTTCTTCTTCCCTCAGACATTGGATTCTTGTCCTGAAAGATGCATTATCAACAGTATATTGCATGTATGAGACATAAATTCTGGAACAGTATATGTATACATTGTCTAGAGGAAATTAAACCCGAAAACTACTGTGTAGCGGTAGATGCATGCATCATATATATATATATATATATATATATATATATATATATATATATATATCCTCTTGTCCCCACCTCGTCCAACATAAACTTTAATCCGATCCAAAGCCATGAACAAGCTAAGGACACAATTTAAGACCACATCAACAGACAAATTGTTGATGATGAAAATTTGTATGTATATATATGTATAGTATATACACAAATTTCTTTGCATGGTTGTCTTCTACTTTAAACCAATTAGTGATAAGTAGATGGACACTAACCATATCCCTCCCTTATAATCTACAGCGCCACATCTCGAATCGAACAGGAGCTGAACTTAACCAAGTCTGCTAACGCCGAACAGAAGTTTGTACCTTGAAATAGGGGAAAGTTATGGTATAACAAACGTATTAAGTGGTATCTAGAAAAGTATTGAAATTGAACTGATTAGAGGGAGATTTATCATTCACATTAACTATTAAATTACTATTTAAAATTATGATAGGTAAAACGGTGGATTGTTTCAATAACTTTTTGGAATGTAGCACACCAATAAATTGATTTAATTTGTTTCTTTGTAGGTTATAGGTGTATAGTACAGTGCATGTGTCATACTATACATTGATGAGTAAGACAGTAACATCATTAAATTCCCCTAACTCAGTTTGTCTCTGAGCTCTGATGACTTATATGCACCACTGCACTGCATCTTATCATCTTGGGATATAAGTAATTATTATATTGAGTTTTGTTTTTAAAATTTTTGTGCTTTTTTTATTTTTATTTTTCAGGTTTCAAATTGGTTCATTAATGCCAGGGTCCGGCTGTGGAAACCCATGGTGGAAGAGATGTACCAACAAGAAGTTAAAGTAGGCGACAGTGAAAATATGGACAGCCCATCCAGTGGAGACGACACTGTCGCCGTCAGTAATTCGCCCACCACCACCACCACCGCCCCACCGCCACCGTCTGCAGCCGCGGCAGTGACTGCCACTGCTGCCGATACAGTGGCAGCTGCAGGCAAAAGATCCGAAATCAACGCTGCCAACGAAAGCGACCCTTCACTCCTTGCTATCAATACCCAATGCTTCTCGAGAAACCAAGCCTCCACGTGTCACCGCCGTGGGACGGCGGATTCCGGGAAGGCCGATGTTGGGTCCGCCCTCATACGCTTTGGGACGACGAACGCCGGCGGCGGCGGCGGCGGCAATGTGTCGCTCACTCTGGGGCTGCGCCACGCCGGAAATTTGCCCGACCAGAATCATTTTTTCGGTTAGGCCATGCCGGGGATTACTATGTTGTTATTATCACACGAAAAATCACACACATATTCGGAGAATCATATGGTTTCCATATTTATGTCTTTTGTTTTAAATTATTCATTTCATCTAGACATGCAATTAATTAATATATACATAGTCAAATTAAATATCATCAATGGTAGCGTTATGCTAGCATCTAATGTGAGACTCCCTGCAACTGTATAGCCTTATTAGTACATTTTTCACATCATTTAATTTTCTTGATTTCTTGTCTACTTATTTACATACTTCTTGTGGTTTGAATGTACTGATCATTCAACTATCCTTACAACTATCGTGTATAAACTATATATACACACATACAAGTGTAATTAACCCTATCGGTAGAATAACAAATCACAGTGATATAAAAATGAAAAAAGTTTACTCAACTCTAAAAGTACATTTTGTGATATGTAAAAATTGTACTTTAAATGTTTTTACAATTTTGTCTGGTGCACTTTTAGTAATCCTCACTCTCTTTTTTTTTTTTTTTAAAAAAAAAAAAAACCTAAATCATGGTTCTCACCTAATTTGTGTGTGTGAGAGAGAGGATTATGATGATGAGAAATACAACAATCTTTTATATGATGGGGTGAAATTTAGATACTTTCAATGAGAATAAAGTCATAAAACTCTTAAGCATAAAGTCTTTGATACGAGATTAGTATATTCTTTAATTAGTTGCACTTTGCAATTTTACAATGCATGTTCACTTTTAACGCGTCTTACATCAATCTTTACTTTTTACCAAAATCATTGTTCTCACCTAATTGTGTGTGTCCGCATTATGATGGTGAGGATTCTGAACACAACAAGCTTTTATATGATGGGATGAAATTTGCATACTTTTGATGATAATAAATTAAAGTCATAAGCTCTTATAAGGATGAAGTGATTGATACGAGGTTAATATATTCTTTAAAGTAATAAACTCTTAAGCATGAAGTCTTTCTACAATTTCTAATCGAAGAGACGCTATTTCTAGATACATATTAGGACTAGTGAAATCATATCAATATATAAATCACTAAATCATTTATTAAAATTGGTATGGACCGGAACTAATATTTTTTGGGATTTAGTATTGCACCAAAAAGGCAAAAACAATTGTAACCTCTGGGAACGTCTCTAAATCTTATAAATCCTCATAACTTAAATATTTCATATAATTAATTTGGAGTACAGTAGTCTTCTGGCTCTATCAATAACATTAAAGTTTGATTGATAATTCATATTTCTCTTCTATTTTGTACTACTTATTAACGTGTTGATTGATTACTAGCAGTAAAAGAGGCATATTTATAATAATAACACTATTGTTATTATTTTCTAATTTTGTCTTTTTAACAAATTTAGGCATGGAGAAGAAGGAAGTGAGTCAAAGAATAGTAAATTTGGTGAGTATGGTCAAACTAAACAAAGAAGGGATCAAAGCTATATACCTAAGAAAAGGTAGGTGCAAGACTTTGTGAAAAAGAGGAAAAGAAAACCCCATTAATGTGAGAGTAAATTGGAGCAGGTTAGGTCAGTCTGGAAGATTGTGCAATCAATGTGTTCCATGTGGCCTACCCACCAATGCAATCACAATAATACTACCTTGCTTCTTTACTTAAACCCCCACTCTACACTACACTACTAAAGTATACTATATTACACACTATATAAATACACATGTCCATACATTGTCTCGGCGGGCAAAACTCTACTGATATTAGGTATTGATCCGATGACAAAACACTCTTTCATCTATTTTAGAATAACTGTATCTTTGAGATTTGAATGTGAGATCTTTGGTTAAGAGTCTCATGACATCTTATCCATACTCTTATGAGTAAAACAAATGCATTTTTTGTATTGTTTTTAACCTTACAAAATATAATACGAAATACTAACTTTACAAAAAAAATAAAATGTGATTTTTGTCCATTCAAGTAATGAATATGTAAACCTTTATTGCTTGAAAAAGGTACCCTTATGATAATACAAATATTGGGGGTTACAATCGGAAGGTAGTTCCGTAGTTGCGTGCAAATGAGCATGTAAGAAAATAGATGTTCCCTCCTTATTCTGAAGTTGGGATATGTGTTTGGGAGCGTGTATGTGATGAAAAGGGTCGAAATTCCCCTCTAGCAATTAATGCTCATTTCATAGGCGAGTATGGGTGAGCATGTCGGATCTTCGGCATGTTATACACGTGTTGAGCACATGGTTAACAGTCATAATTATCACGTCAAGCGTCCATATGGACTGAACAAGTGATGGAACATGATATGCTATTTGTTTTGTCCAAGATGTTGGTCCCAAATGGTTAGGGTACAAGTCTAGCTAGAGGGGTGAATAGACTTGTAAGATTTTGAAAATCTTAACGATTCATACAGGTAAACCTAAGGGTTACTTCAACGTTTCGTAGAGTATGCACAACGGAAATATATTGTTAACCCGACCCTTTTTAATTAGTTGTGCACATAATATTTTTTTCTTTGAGAGTTTAATGATCTTGATCGTGTATGAGTATGAATAAATGCACTAAATTAAAGTAAAAATAGAGAGAGAGAGAGATTTTTATAGTGGTTCGACTAAATCCCATCGTACTTCACTCTTCTCCTTAAAACTCCTAAAGAGGTTTGCACTAATCCATTTAATATAAAACAGAACGTTCAAACCTTGAACTTCTTAGGTTTTTCAACTCAACTCCGAGGTTACTCTGTCTCTTTCTACTTTTACCGAGTAGAGTTACAAGGGTTTGAAGAAAATAATTCTTCTATCTCTAACGAGAAAGCTTGACATTGAATGATTAACTTGATCTTCACGTTTAAGCAGCCCAATCTTCTAAATCTGGATAAAACTTTATAGATTTTTAAATCTCTCTCACTGGTCTTGCTTTGAACTTGTTTAGAACACTTGAATAGCTTGCAATTTTTACATCAATAGATCAACACCTTCTTTTGCTGTGAATGAAGGTATTTATAGGCGTTTCGAAAAGGAGCTGTTGGAGGAAAACCCATTTCAAACATCTATTGACCAGCTGGTAGAGATAAGTGAGTTTTCCATAAAGTAGCTTTTTCGTGTCCGACTTTCCAGCTGTTAGACTACTTAATTTGCGTTGAACATATATATCTTTTTGTTCTGCACAAATGTCTAGTCTTTTTAAGGAAAATCTCTTGGGATGTGTACCTATGACTCTCTTTGCCATGGTCACATTTTACTACAAAGCACTAATATTTTAAGGTTTCGAACTATTTGTTCAAAGAATGTCTAGAGCAGTCTTTTCGAGCAATTAACTTGCACTATTCGACTTAACATTTCGAACATTAACAGTTTGCTACTTCTCGGTTATGAATGGTTGGCATTACCATTCATTCCTTCTTTTACTTCGAAAGGTAAGTCCTTCCACCATTCGACCTTTTGCAATAATTCGGTTTTGTAGTCTTGAGTTCTGCAAAGAAAATTTGTAATTTATGTCCCTCCATAATATGTTAATTATCAATATCACCCCTGAATTATTAGTAGTGTAAATATTACACTTCAATTTTCAAAACAGTACATATTTCCCCTTTGTACTGTACGAATTTCGTAACCGTTATGTTTAATATGATCGTTTCGAACGTTATCATATTATTATTAAATTAGATTATGTGCCATATTCAATGCTATGTTTTTTGGGCATATTTTTAAGTAATTCGAAAATCATTTTTCTACTCCTAAGCACGGTCAATTCTTCTATAAAAAAAATTAGTCCCATTCATCCCGAAAGCTTGTGTTTAAGCTATTGTTCTAATTCGGCAAGAGTTTTATAGTTTGTGTGCTCGAACTATCGTACATTAATTTATTTTATCCTGGGTGATTGACACTACAACACTTCTAGTACCTTAGGAGTTAGCGAATTAGTTTTAAGAAAAGTGTTTGTTACAAACACACGACTTAAATTTTTATTATTATATTCTTTCATCTTTGGGATTATTTTTCTAAAATTATAAATCCCACTATTTTTAATTTTTATGGAAAAATCAATTTATTTGCCTACACAATTTTATAAAACACATGATGTTATGACACACCTATGTAAAATTATCCATAATGTCACCGGAAGGACTAAACGTGTCCAAAATATGATACTATGATAGTCTAGGGTATTAAATACTTAAATAACTAAAACAATCGTCTAAGACTAAATTTAAAATTACCACAGAAGACAATAGATTTCTGTTGAAATTAACTTTAAAAACGTGTCCAAAATATGATACTATGATAGTCTAGGGTATTAAATACTTAAATAACTAAAACAATTGCCTAAGACTAAATTTAAAATTACCACAAAAGACAATAGATTTCTGTTGAAATTAACTTTAAATACTCGTTAACTTTATAATGAATTCAAGTCAAATTAATCCTGAAATCATAACGATATAAATAGAATATGATTTTCGTAGCTAAATTTTTTGAGTTTGATTGTAACTGAAAATTGTTGTTATTTTACGGTGGTTAGTCACTCTCTGCCATGGACAGCAAGCCAGCAACCTCGTTTCATAGCCTTTGCCCCCTATTCTATATCTATATAATATGTGTGTGTATGTATTATTGTTTGCACAGTACGTATATTCAAGATGGTGTTTTTGTCTTGCCTGGTCCCATTAATTCGACAAAGAAATTATAGTGCAGAAGCGTACATGTCCTTTAAAAAAAAAAAAAAAAAAAAAAAACTTCTATTATTATTTTAGTATTTACTTTTCTTATTCATTCCTATTCAAAATTCAAATTGCATTCCCAATCTTGTCTACCACTGCCCAACAAAAAAACAAAAGCAGTTGTAAATTGTAATCCTTTATTCACTAGAAAATATGAATTTAATCAAGAAAGTATTTGATAATAATTGAATTTTTTAATTTTTAAATATAAACCCTAAACCCTTTCCACGTTAGATATATCTAAAAGTTTAACAGTATATTGAAGGACCCAATTGCAACAACATAAAAGTAGTTCAATAATTTTGTTTTTAATCAAATCCTAAATCTATGACCCTATTGTAACAAAATAACCTGAATTTTTCTTTGACAAATTATATTGTTGATCATAGTCTAAATTGTAAAGTGGAACGTTGATAAAAGTTTATTTAGTGTATTGAAAGTTTATTTTTAAATAATATATTAAAAATAAATATTTAATATATTAAAAATGAATATATAGTAAACTAAAATGAACTAATATGTTAGTAGTTAATATTGTAATGTGGACCGTAGTATAATGATTGGAATTTTCTAAATCAACATTTGATGGATTTGGATGTCCAAGAAAATTTGAATTAGGCATCTAGTATGGATATTAGAAAATAAAGATGGCCCATAGCTCTATTTGGGCTGTTGTTATTTAAGCCCAATTTACCACTCCTATGTTGATATTTACTGCGGAGCAATCGTTATGCTGTGGAACCGTGTCCATCTTGCAAGGTGGACACAGTTTTATATTCATAATTATAAATTTATATATTCGTAATTTTTGAACTTCATATTCATAATTATTGAATTCTATATTCACAATTACAAAACTCTATGTTTATAATTACTGAACTATATGTTTATAATTATAAAGCTATATATAATATATTCATAATTTTTGAACTTCATATTCACAATTATTGAATCTCTATATTCATAATTATTTTCACAACTCTATGTTTGTGTTCATAATTTTTGAACAGAGAATTATAGGGGATCAAACCCATGACCTCTCACTTGAGAGAATCACTTTGTGTCACTAAATTACAAGGTCATTCGTAATTTAGTACTCCATATTAAACTATTGGTTTGTAAAATTCATATACTCCGGTATTTAGAAACTATATTAAAAGTGCTACTTCCAGCATCCCATTTTGAGAACTTAGCTGATATTATATGCTTGTGTTCAAATGAGAACCACTCTTTAGGTGTGAACTTACGAACTATGAATAGATTTTGTGCATTCGTGTAGTACATTGTGTGCACTTATAGAGGTTCATAAGTTCCCATTTCATTTGATATTTGAATATATAACCACAGAAGTTAGAGTCAAAACTCAGACTACATTAAACAACCTTAGGATGACAGAAAACACACCAATGAGACATGTATTACATCCCTTTTAAGATACATCTAAATACATACATTCAATAAGCAATTAAACCTCAATCATACAACAACATTGTTGGTCGTCATGTAATGAAACCCGCACGGGTAGCTCAGTTGATAGTCCAGCACGGGTAGCTCAGTTGATAGTCGGGTGGTAGCCAGATTTACAATTCTTCACTTCTTTCTTGGTTTTCAGATACCGGGTGTAACACCTGTGGCCCTGCAGAGTTTCCCGTTTGGCCGATGCTTTCTGCTTCGGTATAGGGTCTGATGAAAGTGCGGCGCCACCACACTTCAAAGGCTCTCTGGAGATTCGGGCAGTTATCGCCCGCCTTGAGAAACGTGTCGAGCCAAGACAGCAGAATGCTCTGCTGCTCCTCGAGAGGGAGCGTCAGGATTGTCCTCCCGATCCCTTCCTCGACGACCTTCCTGTCGAACGATCTGCTGCTGTGTTGTAGCCAGCTGTAGTCGTTTATCAACGGCTGCAACCACGTTTGCAACAGGAGATGGCGGGTGTCCTTCGAGGGAAGGATCTCGCCTCTGCCTATCCCGACGAACAGCCTCGCCGTGATGCAGCTGACGTGGTGGCGGGCGATAGTGGGGAGCCTCGGGTGCAGCGAAGCCAGCTCTTGCTGGCTAGCCCACAACGTTGCAAACCCGTCGGCCGCTTGCCTGTCGCTTAACATCTCGAGCATCCACGTGAGGTTATCGGCCTGTAAGGCAATCTGCTTCGGACTCGAGCTGTTGCTAAGCTCGGGTTCTGCAGCTCGTTCGAACAGATCCAACAACGAGTCCAGGCAGCTTCTGCACGAGGTGTAAAGTATTTCATTACAAATGTCAACCGAGCCCACGGAGCCCGGGAGACTGTTGTTTTCTCTTAGGAGCTTCAGTACTATGGATTTCATTTCCCGACGGCCTCGTTCCTCGTTGCTCTTGAGCACCAATTCCAAGATCTGCGAGAAAGTGTCTTTGGGAGGCCTCGAAATATCAGACGACACTCGTTTCAACACCGGGTTCACCCCAATTCCCTCGCCTTGCAGACGTAAAATCGAAGAAACTACCTTTTCTTCTTCTTCTTCCCCCACCCAAGGGACTGCTTCCAAGTATTCTAAGCATGATTGCATGCATAGTTTGAAGCCAAGATGTTCTGCAACCTAGAGACATCTTACATATTACGCTTTGAAATATGATCAATACTAAACTTCTATTAAGTATATGATTAAAAAAAAAAAAACAGTGTTGCAAAAATCGGGTCTAGGCGCGCCGATTAATTGCTTTAGGCGCCCTAGGCGGTCCCCAGGCGCCTAGAGGGCGCCTAGCGATTTTTTCAACCTTGAAAAAAAGTATTTGAATCAAAGAACCGACCTCAAATATCACCTGAACAAACAACTTTAGACAACCCATTATCCTTTCCCTTTCATCAAATTAACGACTTTATCCTACCTATTCGAAATCTGCAATCTACTCCCAGAAAGACCGAAAAATGCTGGGTTCCCACTATACTCTACTCTATAGTTCAAAGTTCAAAGAATATCACTTTTAGCAGCAAGACACAACATTTAAAGATATGGGAACATCATATATATTCTCAAAACGAAATGAAAACATCATATATATTCTCAAAACATAATGCTAGTTCAAATTGCAGAATTCTTTTGTTTGCAAGGTAAAGAGAAAACGAGGATAGAAATTACCTTGAGAATCCGTAGGACACGTGGAACACTTTGCTTGATCAATCGCTGCCTCAAATCTTTGCAGTACATCAGACCAACGGTTTCGACAAATATCTCAACATCCTCGCAATCATCGACCTCGATACAGGGAAAAACGGGCTGCTGTTGCGATATTTTGTTGGCAAAGAAACTGCTATTCTCTACTAGAACACCCCGGTGGACATTCAACTTCACCGCAAATCCCTGCTTCCCGAGCAAAATTACTCTCAGATCACTAGTCCCCGGTTCACCAAACTCAATAGACACCTTCCGGGCCACGTTTTCAATCTTCGGGTGAGGCCCTCGCTCTGTTGCCACCGACGTACTGACACTGGGCGCCTCAGAAGTGAGACCTTTTACCTCATCAGCAACAACATTTGACCTAGGTGGAGCATTACTAGGTGGTCTTTTCTCAGCTACAGATGTTTGTTTCTTCTGAGACGACGAGGTTTGGGTGGTTGGGGGCGACGATTTGGACTTGTTTACGGGATTATGTGACTTAACAGACTTCTGAAACACTACGGGTGAGGGACAACACCAGAACCCCTCTGGGGTAACAGCAATTGGAACATTCTTAACCTTGGTTTGACCCTGCTCTACCTTGGTAAGTCTAATTTCAGCCATATTCAACACACAACAGAAAACTTCAAAGGATAATTAATTCAAGAAATGGCATTTTCTGTAGAAACAAGAAAGTGGACCCAAAAAGCTAACAACATTCAAATCCACAACCTACAAAGGTCTCATCTTTTTCAGTATGATGAACACAAACCCTAGAATTCAGGAGCTTTATCAACCTATGCAAACATTCTATGGCTTAATTGTACCTCAGGAGAGAACAGACATTCCAAGAATTCAAAACAAAACCTTAATTTCTGCACTATATTCTTCAAACAAACGAAAATAAAGAAAAAAACAAATAAGCACAGAGAAGCAGAAAGGGCAAATTTCAATTCTTGAACCTGCAGAGACCTTGTTTCAGTTAGGGCTAACAAATCTAGCCCTGAGGGGGTCCTAAATATGCATAAAAGGGGAAACTTTAAATACCCAAGAAAAAGAATTTGCAGAAAGTGCAGAAACAGCAAACTAGCAAACACACACACACTCACCAACAACCAACAATGGCTATCTCTGATAATTCTCTGAAAACCCTTCAAAGCTCATAAATTTATGAGCCTCTAAGAATGATTGAAGAGAGCTTTGATGTCAAGCATCAAGGGAACCACCAAAGAGAGATTTAACAGACTGGAATGATGGGGTTTTTCTTATACCCTGTGGGAATTTTTATTTTTTTTGGTTTAAAAATCAAAAAATGGAACTGGGGGAATATTATAAATCAAGAAAACACATGACCCAAAGTGAGAGTGATTGCTTATGGGCTGTACTTGCAACTTTACACTGTGTGTGTGGCCTCCTCCTCTTCCTCCGATAATGTTTTTGTGAGATTCTTATGATTTTGTTGGGGAGACTTTCACTGTTCTTCCTGAAACCTCTCTATCTCATATACAGACAGAACAAACTACCTAAACATGTTGAAGATTACAAGAGACAAGCATGCACTGGGGAGGGGTTGTTGCCCTCCAAGTTTCAATCTTGGTTTTGTTGGTTCCACTTTTTTTTAATAGCTTTTTTTATTCTTTTGTTGCTTTTATTTTTCTCTTTAATTTCCCCTTTTAAGACGGTACAGTTCTAGATCGAATCTATTAGGATAAAAAGAGACAGTCCTTATCAAACCTAAGTTCTCCCCACTTCATACCTAATTACTGAGTAAATAATTGACTTTGACCAAGGGACAAAACCATTATTATTAGGCTCTATACATGTGTAATTAGTATTGATTGTCTACTAACTTAGTTTGTGGTTAAGCCACTCTTCAATGTGTTATTTAAGGAAAATGATACATGTACGGAGTAAAACTCTCGTCATGTGTCATGATTTGATTTATAAAAGAGAAAGAAAATAATAAAAATTATGACTCATTAATTTTTTTAGATGAATCAGAATATGACACATAAACTGTGAGTAAACAATGGAATTTAAAATAAGAGTATGTGTAGTATTACTTGTTATTTAAAAAGCAATATAAGTAGTTTATCATTCTAATCATATACTCCGTAATGTTTAAGTTGTGGGATAAGCGTTTGGTGAGAACAGTTATACATAATTTTCAATGAAGAGATAAAAATTCAATGAGATCACACTGATTCAAATTCAATCTCACCGCCTCTCAAATGCAACCTTAAAAACCTAGGTTAGTTACGTTTGCCGAAAAGTATGAGTGATAAGATTACTCTAACCTTATTATTTGATAATTTGTTAATAAGGTCATTTATACAAACAAACAAAAAAAGACATTGTTCAATGGTAAATATAATTTTCATCAACATTACAAATTCATAGTTATTTCAATTTGAAAGTCAACAATATTGATTCGCATCAAAACCTCTCCGATCAAGTACAACTTATAAAAGTTTTGAGATTTGTATCTACAATGTCTCCATTGCACTTGGTATAGACTCCAGAATTTTTTTTGCATTAATTGTTGGACATATCCAATGCTGATCATCAATGCCAGCCTTAAATTTTGTTTGCATGTAAAAATTCCTATATAATTAATTACTCTGAATTTGTATCTATTGATTAATCCAAACGAATTACTCTATATGTACTTATACTTTTCATTATTTTTTTGGTAGAAATACTATTCATTATTTATCAATGAATTATTTTAAAAAAAATGTTCTCCCTAATTAAAAAAGGAAAACTATTTATTTTCATTGATTTTTTGAAAGTTACAGGCTCTATTACATTGTAGTATCTGTTTATATACTTTCTCAACCTACTGAAACACAAAGAACACAAAGAACCAATAACACTTCCACTGAGACTTGAACTCATAATTTTTCAAATGGAAGTCCAACCCGGGTACCATTAAAAAAGAAAAACTATTTATTTTCATTGATGAATACTTATGAATTAGCTAAATTCTACTCCAAGTTACAGAGTAGCAATGACATTATTATTATTTAATAAAAAGACAATACGTTATAGAGTAATTAATAACAATGAGTTAATTCCAGCAATGGTCCTCCGACTATAGTGATTTTCCAAAATTAGTACTCGACTTTTAATTTGGACACTTTAGGTCCCTTGACTTTTAATTTCTTTCCAATTGAGGTCCTTTCGTTAGAATACGGTTCATTAGACTTTAAATAAAGGGGTAAACTCGTCCTTTCACCTGCCTATGTATTATTCTTCGTATTTCTCTCTTCGTATTTCGCTGTTATACCTTGTAAACATCTCAATAATAGAGGAACGCACACACAAGTAGTCAGCAAATGGAAAACGACGAGGAACATTTTAGGGTTTCGACTAAGATTATCTTCATATGTATCGCGTATACAATGGAGAAACACTAAGAATAATACATAGGCAGGTGAAATGATGAGTTTACCCCTTCATTTAAAATTCAATTAACCGTATTCTGACGAAAGGACCTCAATTGGAAAGAAATTGAAAGTCAAGGGACCTAAAGTGTCCAAATTAAAAGTCAAGGACTAATTTTGGAAAATCAATATAGTCGGAGGACCATTGCTGGAATTAACTCAATAACAATTGTGAGGCTTTCTAGTTAGCTTTTTTGTTACTCAAAGGTATCCCTTCAATGCTACCAAATTGCTCTTCTATGTGGAAGATGATGAATTTGAGCTTCGGTGACTTTCTAACTAGCTTGATTCATCATAACAATAGAGAATTATATTATGAGATATTAAATACATAATAATAATAATAATGTATCATATCTCCCAGTCTCCCACCTCCCACGCACCCTCCATCAGTCCATCATTAATAAAAAGTAATTAATTTTGTGGGGTGTAAGCAGCCTCGGATTAAGGTTGCCGTGGAGACAAAGGTGCAGCAAATGGAAAATGATGGGACAAACAACACATTGCCCAATGGAACTTGCTCAAGGTTTTCCTTAACCTGCAGGAAATACTTGCATGTGTTGTTGTACCAATTCCAATAATTAAAGTAGATTGGGCATGTGTAGTTTGTAGGTATATATGACTTTGTATATCTTATCCCAAGTCTGACCCGACAAAACATTTGAAAAAATATAAATCATGATAATTCAATGACTTAGTAGATTAGGTCAAATATGAGTGTGCATCGATCTCCACACCGTACTGTTACTGTCAATGTTCAAACATTGGTCTTTTCTCCTAAATACTATCTACTGAACCAGTGAGCTAAGTTCATACGGACTTGACTCTATATGTCTATATATATATTTAGTTGGTTGTGGCCTGTGTGTATAATTGTTTGCTTTAATTTGGGTTGGGTGGGCTAAATTAGTACTAGTGATGATGACTATAGTTTAATGATAGTGTGTGAACAAAGCAACCTTTGACTTTTTAAAGACTACATCCATGGTATTATCGTCTGTTTTGAACCTTAATTTTTTATTTTAAATATTGCATAGTGAGCTAAATTTGTATGAACAATTTTATATTTTCTAAGTTATATAGTTAAGGTTTATGAATCTAATAGCTAGGATTCATCACACTGTAGTCATTGTTTACCTCATTTGGTTCATTTAATGTTGTTACATAAGGTAACGTTTTTAAAATTTTTACATTATATATAAAAAAAATTTGAAAAGAAATTCATGTGTATGCAATTGGTCTGTATGAAACCCAACTAAGACTATATTTGATCAGTCTCATTCTCGTGTGTGTGTGTGTATATATATATATATATATATATATATATATATATGGATATCAATGCACTATGTAAAAGAGAAAAAAAAAACGAAAAAACAAAAAAAAAAAAAAAAAAAAAAAAAACAAACAAACAAATGGAATGAGATTTTTGAAGATGTGACTATAAATGATGAAGTACAAATTATTCATTAAGCATATCGTGTTCTGTGTTAGTTAATGAAGTCTCACATTCTCAAAACTAAATTAATACATTTGAATGTTCACATTATTGACTGTTATGTTATATAATTAAGGGAAAATGACACTTTTTCCCCTGAGTTATATACATATAGCATTCCCCCCCCCCCCCCCTCCCCTGAGTTATATACATATAGCATTCCCCCCCCCCCCCCCCCCTCCTTACATATAGCATTTCCCCCCCTCCCCCCTCCTCAATTATTCAAGTGGCTGTTTTCCCCTCTAAAATGTTAAATGGACATATTTACCCTTAAAATAAATATTTTATTTATTTTTCTTCTCCAACAAATTATGACCATAATAATTTGGTTCAAACCAAATAAACACTATAGCAACCAAACCGAAATATTTCAATTACAATTTAGAATCGAAACTCGATATTTAGAGTTTATTAAAATCCCGGAACGGATGGTTCGTGTTCCGAACTGAAAAAATAAAATACATTTATTGTTGAATTTAGACTATTTTTAAAATAAAAATAAAATTTTAAAATAAAAACGGTTCAAAATCGCGAATCGGGTCTGGAACCGCCGGTTCACGGTTCAGATCCAATTTTTTTTATTCATAATTTTATTAAATTGAAATCCAAATATTGGGTTCTAGATCTGAATCATAACTGGAAACTTTTAATTCGATGCTATAGTGTCCGATTCAGTTCGAACCGAATCGTGGTCATCCCTACGTATACGCAATAATTTGTTGGAGACGTAAAATAAATAAAATGTTTATTGTATAAATGTCAATTTAATATATTAGGGGGAAAAACCACCACTTTTGGAATAATTGAAGGGGCTAATGTGCTTACCTAAATAATTGAGGGGGAAAAAGTGCTATAAGTATATAACTCAGGGCGAAAAAATGCCATTTTTCCTATAATTAACTATAACAAAACACCTTCTTAATGTTTGAACTTGAAAGCATATATCTAAGATCATATCATAATTAGATTTCAGTCAAATTTATAGGATCTAATTCTATTTTTGTTATATTTCACCAAAAACTGTGATCTAAGTTTTATATTGTTTTACTATCTAATTTAAATACACATCATAATATCATATGTTATGGGCCAATTATCGAAATTAGATCCATTTTTTTAAACATGTATCGTACAACACAAGAAACCAAATGCAAAATTGGAATGCTTGATGTTTAATGAAGCATCTATAAATCCCAAAAAAAAAAATCACATGTGATCATGCTAACAATATATTATTATATGATCAAATATTTAGTTATATATATATATATATATATATATATATATATATTCAAGGGGTATAACATGTATGCACAAAAAGTAAATAACCACTCTCTCTTTGATTTAGAAGAAAATTAAACATCATTCGTTATCTGAATATGCGATGTTTTGGGTGAAGTCCGATATGTTTTTTTTGTTTTGTGATCTTAACCAACAAAAGGTCACAAGGAGAGAGATAAATCAATCTAAGTTTCTAGCTGACCAGTTCAAATCGAAAAGACCAATAAATGACAACTACTATAAAAAATTGAACTTGAAATCTTGTGATTATTAAATTAACTGATCAATCAACTCGATTGGAATTGTCTCTCGATCTGTCTCTATTATTGAGTGAAGTATGGGGCGTGGCTTGGTGCAGAAGCACAATGATAGAGTCTAGAAATGGATGATGAGTGAAAT